GCACGGATAAAACCCAGGTCTGAACCGGGGATCAAACCCACACACATACACATACACACAAACACACACCTTCTTGCTGTGAAGCGTCAGTGCTAACCACCGAACCATCGTGCAGCTGGTTGTGAAAAACTGACCTGACTGCGAATGGGCGCTCACCTGATGCACTTCCGCCTGGCTAGCTGCTAACATGTCGGGGAAGCAAAACTGGTCAGTCAGCGACACGTTTCCATTAGAAACTTTGAAAGAGCTCAAAACTCGCCTTGATGTTGTAAAGTGTAGGAACACGAAGTGTTTTAGACAAGTACGCAAAAAACTCAACGTTTGTTTATGTTCATCGTGGAAGTAGAACTTCTGCGTTTTTTTCAGGGATGTTTACAACTCTGCGAATGTCAGTAYTTCTATTCTGAATATAACCGACGCTCGTCAAGATCGAATCAGTTAATTTTGTGCACACTGAAACAATTTGGATTATTTTGGATACATTTCAATCTGATCAAAGAATTTTGCGCATGTAAACAAAGCCAGTTACAGAATTGCATATAGAGTATATCTGAAAAACTAGAGAAAACTAATTCCAAGTTTAATATAGTCTAGGACAGTGGTTCCCAAAGTTGGGGTCGGGACCCAAGGTGAAACATCAAGGTGGGGTCCTGAAAAGATTTTCTAAATTAATGACATTTTTGCTTTAGTTGCCTAAAATATATAAATGTAGAATAATAAATATTGTTACTATGCCCATGTTTAGTTGGCCTGATAGAAATGTTTATCATCCAAAAATAGTTGTGGGCACAGGTCTCTGCTACTGTTATGTTGTGGGTCAAAAACTGAAAAGTTTGGGAACCACTGCACTTCAAAAATCAATTTAAAGGATAATAAAATGATTGGTGATGAAATATTTTCCCTATAATTATTACAAAAACACAAAATAAGTATAAATACTTATTTATATTTGTGTAGCCTTTGTTTTTAGGGTTATTAACAAAGTTTGTGTACTCAGACCAGTAATATTTGGGGTCACAAGTTTTTGCCATGAAAATTTTGTGGGTCAGAAGACAAAAAGTTTGGGAACCACTGCTTTAGGGCACAGATAGAAAAATGGAGCAGATAAGATTTTTCTTCTGCCTCCTTTCATTTCAATTTAATTTTGTTGTGTATATGTTGTGTATTTTTTGTTTTTAATATGTATAAAAATATTCAGCTTAAACGTAGGAGAATTTTTTTTCCACAATGAAGGGGAGCATTGTAT